GTGTCAATCAAATCCTCGTTTTGATCCAAACCTTCACCAATCACTGGATATTTAGAAACAATTTCTGTGACAACTTTGGGAAAACACATGATTTAAGAAAACACTAATTTATTAAGTATTTAGTTAAAAGAAATTAAAATCTTATTTGAGACTTAGGTTTAAAATAAAAATAAAAATTTTGTTCAAAAAACTATGTATTTAGAGATGAATTATTTGCCTTTTTATTAAAACATTTGCCATTGAGACGAAAGGTAAAAAACTGATTATGAACTGGTACAAATTATGAACTGTTTATTTTCACTCTGAATCATTACTGTAATATATTACTATAGTCTACTGTATATTATATTGACTCTAAATTTATAACTATTTTTGTGTATATAAAAGGTCGTGTTTTTGACACTAACTTGCTAAAATTTATTTGCTTATGGTTTTGAATATTTAGTTAGTAAGAGATTGAATATCTATTGAAATCTACTAAACTACTCCACTTAAAAAACTTTCCAAAAATGAATATAAACCTTAAATAACTTACAGATATTGATATTACACAATAAAATTGAATAAAATAATAAAAATAATAAAACTTATTAGTTATTTTTTAGATTACTCTTATTTAGTTTATAATGTACTGTATTTTGTTTCAAATCATACATTTGTTTGATTTTCAGTAAACACTATTGAAAAATATAATGCTTATGGTTTTGAATATTTAGTTAGTAAGAGATTGAATATCTATTGAAATCTACTAAACTACTCCACTTAAAAAACTTTCCAAAAATGAATATAAACCTTAAATAACTTACAGATATTGATATTAGACAATCAAATTGAATAAAATAATAAAAATAATAAAAATAATAAAAATAATAAAAATAATAAAACTTATTAGTTATTTTTTAGATTACTCTTATTTAGTTTATAATGTACTGTATTTTGTTTCAAATCATACATTTGTTTGATTTTCAGTAAACACTATTGAAAAATATAAAGCATTAAGAATTTTGGAAACATTTGTTGATAACTAATATATAAATAATTTAATAAAAATTATCGATATCGATATCGGTAATAAGTAATAAGTGACAGAATTACTACTGTTATCACTACGAGTATCATTGAGTAGCCATAGACACCTAATCCCTGTCCACTGGAATCCTTGTATGGATTATGGATTGTGAAAGACTCGGAATACGACACTTTTGGTCCCGAACTGGTGTTGTAACTGAAGTTGACTTTTGGTTCCGCATCTCATAATGATTTCAATGAAACAAATAAAGTAAATGTTAATTAAGTTAAGATAGAAATCATGAAATGCTAGAAAACTACTGATACTTGAGAAAGGGTTGTAACCTTTGATGACAAACATTGCGATCCAAACTAGAAGTGCGATCACAAGAATCGGAAACACATTCTTGACTATAATTCTGATAAATTTGAATCCAATTATAATGAGTATAGCTATTGCTATAGGAATCGCTAAATTCCATGCAATGGTCACCCAATTGATAGTCATTTTCTGTTGTGATTTTGTTATAAGTGGCTATAAGTTATTGACTTTCAGTCTTATAGATTTCAATTTAATTCACTATAAATTTTTCGTTTACTATAAATTTCATAACAAACTGTTATTATGAACGAAACTGTTATCACGTGAGATCATTAATTAAAATCAAAAGAATTACTAAATTTTTTATTTGAATGTCAAGTCATTTAATGAGTGCAAGCTTTGACAACATTGTTATATTGAATTATTTTTAAATACAAAAAACAAGATTTCTATTTCAATTTGAAAAGTTAATTTCATTTAGTCAAATATTACTAATATTTTATTAGTGAAACAAAATTTTTCGGTCAATTATAACATTATAGAAGTATTTTACAATTAAATTGATTGGATATCATAGCAATGAGTGAAATATTAGGCGTTATTCTGGCGGTCGTGGCACTGGTTTTGGGAATACCTTTCGGCGTTTGGATTGAATTGCATTATAGTGTCAGTGAAAATGAAAATTGGAAAATACTTCTATAATAAGAATCGGAAACACATTCTTGACTATAATTCTGATTAATTTGAATCCAATTATAATGAGTATAGCTATTGCTATAGGAATCGCTAAATTCCATGCAATGGTCACCCAATTGATAGTCATTTTCTGTTCAAATTCTGTTATAAGTGGTAATAAGTTATTGACTTTCAGTTTAATAAAATCTTATAGATTTCCGTTTAATTCACTATAAATTTTTCGTTTACTATAAATTTCATATTACCGCATAACTGTTATCACATGAGAATTGTTAAATTTTTTATTTGAATGTCAAGTTATTAACATTGACAACATTGTTACATTGTTACTGTATATTGAATTATTTTTAAATAAAAAAACAATTTCAAAAGTCAATTACATTTAATCAAGTATTACTAATATTTTATTAGTGAAACAAAATTTTTCGGTCAATTATAACATTATAAAAGTATTTTATAATTCAATTGATTGGATATCATAGTAATGAGTGAAATATTAGGCGTTATTCTGGCGGTCGTGGCACTGGTTTTGGGAATACCTTTCGGCGTTTGGATTGAATTGCATTATAGTGTCAGTGAAAATGAAAATTGGAAAAAGTTTTCTGGTTTTATGACAATCATAGGACTGGCCATCGCTAACATGTTATCCATTTTTGGGACACAGAATCAAAGCAATTAAAAATACAATAATTGTATATACATTTAGTTTATTTGCTCATAAAATGTTTTAAAATATTAAATGTTTAGAAAAAATTATAACAAAAATTAAATAAATTTTAATTTGGGACACAGAATCAAAGCAATTAAAAATACAAAAATTGTATATACATTTAGTTTATTTGCTCATAAAATGTTTTAAAATATTAAATGTTTAGAAAAAATTATAACAAAAATTAAATAAATTTTATTTAAATAGAAATTGTTTACTGTTAAATTCAGTTTGAAATAAAACCATGAATTCTGTGTATAGTGACAGTGAAAATGAAAATTGGAAAGTTTTCCAATTTTATGATAATCATAGGACTGGTTATCGCAATAACATTGTATGAACATTTGAAACTCAAAATCAAAGCAATTGAATAAATTTTATTATTCAAAAAAATGTGAATTCAATTTTGATTGCAATGCAAGCTTATGTCTACATTTAAATTATTCATTGATTCCTCATTATTACTATAATACTATTATAGTATTACAATAAACTAACGGCTTTATTCAAGTTTGTGTTTTGTCAATTAATAAGACATACATTGATTTAATGATTGAAAGACGAATAGTTAATATAATAAATCTTTAGTCAAATGTTTGTCTCAATAGTTTGTATAATATTGACAATCAAAGGCCAAGAAACAAACTTTTGTGACACAAACGGTTTGGTGTCTGTGTTTAATATTCATAAAGATATTTATTTGCATCAAATCAGTAAAAATTCAAATATATTCTGGAAATACAATTCAAGTAAAAGTGTTTTGATTGATAAACAATTAGAAAGTGCTGCTCAAAGGGCTAACTTTAAACGTAAGTAAATGACTGACTTTATACAATATTTAAGATTTATTTTTAATGCTATAATTTTGAATTTCTAGTCAATTCACCAATTCTTGGCTTTCAATTCACAGAAGTCTATGAATGCTCTCAAGACTTAACCCATTGTAGAGATAATAACTTTGCATTCAATGACATCGATCATTGCAAAACTGATCTCACTTACTGTCAAAGTTCAGCCAAGTTTCAAGACATGATAATTATCATTGGATTCAATGCTAATGGTTCTCAATTATACCAAGCATTTAAACTCAGTTCCAATATCTATGAACTAATTGTGGACAACAATGAGATGCCCTTCTCGTGGCCCACAACCAGTCTATTGAATACAAAGACATTTTGGCCCATGGATAGTGTCCAGCAAGTGGTGGTTGCAGTCAATTATATTCCCTCCACATATGAATTAGTATTTCTAAATGAGTTAAATTTGATTCAATTTTAAAACTAAATTTTATAAATAGGTGTTCATTTTGAAATCAAATGGTAATTTGGTGTTGAAAACGGCATCTCTTCAAAATTACAAGTGGTTTCATTTGCTTCGGTGGCGTCAGTATAGGTTGCCTTTCAGTGATATTATTGGTGTCATTGAAAAGGATAATAAAGTGTATGCTGTCAAGAGTGGTGACAATCAATTGTATTTTTATAGAGTGTTTGGGCCACAAAATATAAGCCGAGAATTTATACCAACTGTTTGTCAATTAATTTATGTTTTATATTTGTTTATAGTCTTATCGTTACTTGATTTTGTATACAGAATCTGAGTGTAAAGAATCTGTTTGACTGTCAAACCAATACTGTGTTCACAACACCTAAACACTTGACTGAATCTCAAGATCCCAATAGTGATCACTCAAGCAGTTCTGACACTGATATGACTACCGAACCAATTGTTGTTGATTCACATATTCCGACAACAAATATGTGGCAATTGTTTATGATTGCCATCATTGGTGTGATTGTCATTATAATCATATCTATTGTCTCATACTTTTGGTTCTGTCGACCAAATAGAAAACAAAAATCTAAATCTGATAGCAATTTAGATAAAGTGCCGAAAACTCCTAAAAAGACTGACATTAAAAAGATTATAAAGAAAAGTTAACAAACTTATAAAAATGATAAATGTTTTTTATTCGCAAATATTTGGAAATGATTACTATTAGTTAAACCTAAATAAAGGTTCAAGGTAACTAAATAAAGTTATTTATTTTATTGTGAATTTGTAATGATCTCATCTTGGACAAGTCGGTTGAAATAAACTCTATCAGCCTTTCCCATAACTGTTTTGGGTATATCATCAACCAATACAATACCAGCTCTAAGTCTATTCTGTAGGGCACTGTTATCTATAAAACAATTTGATAAAAATATTTAAAATATAACTTGTAATAATCAAGCACAATTAATGCCTTACTTTCAACAAATTCAATCAATTCCTGTTGGGAAACATGTTTCGTATCTTTGACTCTGACATAAGCTCTGGGATGTTGTCCATCAGATTCATGCCTTACGCCCACAACAATGTTGTTGATTCACATATTCCGACAACAAATATGTGGCAATTGTTTATGATTGCCATCATTGGTGTGATTGTCATTATAATCATATCTATTGTCTCATACTTTTGGTTCTGTCGACCAAATAGAAAACAAAAATCTAAATCTGATAGCAATTTAGATACAGTGCCGAAAACTCCTAAAAAGATTGACATTAAAAAGATTATAAAGAAAAGTTAACAAACTTATAAAAATGATAAATGTTTTTTATTCGCAAATATTTGGAAATGATTACAGTAATAAAGTTATTGTGAATTTGTAATGATCTCATCTTTGACAAGTCGGTTGAAATAAACTCTATCAGCCTTTCCCATAACTGTTTGGGGTATATCATCAACCATTACAACACCAGCTCTAAGTCTATTCTGTAGGGCACTGTTATCTATAAAACAATTTTATAAAAATATTTTAAATATAAATTGTAATAATAAAGCACAATTAATGCCTTACTTTCAACAAATTCAATCAATTCCTGTTGGGAAACATGTTTCGTATCTTTGACTCTGACATAAGCTCTGGGATGTTGTCCATCAGATTCATGCCTTACGCCCACAACAATTGCCTCATAAACTAATGGATGTGTTATAAGCAGTGCCTCAATCTCTGCCGGTGCCACTGACCACGACTTGTATTTAATTAACTCTTTGATTCGGTCCGTTATAAAAATTTTGTTATTTTCATCATAGTATCCAATATCTCCCGTATGTAACCAACCATTGCTATCAATAGCTGCTTTAGTCTGTACCTCATTATTCAGGTATCCAGCGAATAGTTTGCAACCCCTCACACATATCTCTCCGGGTAGATTTGGACCCAGACTTTGACCAGTTTTTAGATCTATAAACTTCATTTCAGTGTTACTGCCCACCAAACCCACTGATCCATTGAGTCCTCCAGTGACGGGAGTCATATATTCTGTCAGTCCATAAACTGAACCACATTTACAAATCATTAGCATATATCAAGTAATTTGATAAATGAGTTTACATTACATTGAATGAAAGGAACTTTAAATTTATTGAATAATTTTTCAAGTAAATCCAAAGGAAACCGAACTCCACTTCCATTCATGATCTTAATGCTCGACAAATCATAATTTTGTGTCATACTGTCATCGAGTAATAACTTCCCAAAACTCGGAAACATTGGAATTGAATTGATTTTATATTTGTCAATTGATTTCAGAATATTCTTGTGGTCAGTGTCTTCATATAAGATGCAAGTGTTTCCACACATTAAAGAGATGGCTAGAGATGCGGAACCACTCATATGACCGAAAGGATAAATATTAGCCACAGTTGAGCCCATACTTGCCTTTTTTCGGTATATATCCTCTAAAATTGCTACAAAACTGTAGTGAGAAATCATCGCACCTTTTGGTACACCAGTTGTTCCAGAGGTATAACCGATTATAAAGATATCCTCATTGGGTTTGACATCAAAATGTGGTATTTTATTAAATCTATCGTTTGGTTGTTCATCAATTAATTCATGAAATGACAAAAACGGTTGATAACTGCCGTCTAATACAATAACTAATTTGATTTGCTTTTTAACCAAATCATCGCTTTTGTCGTTAAGAATCTTCTCAACGATGGAAGCGTTGGCCACAGAAGTGAAGACAACAGAAGCGCCGCTATCTTTCAATTGGTTCCTCAACTCAAAGACACCGTTAGTTGGTTTGACGGGTGAGAAGGTATTGCCCAATAGATAAACTGCAAATTGACCTATCACATATTCAATGCTATTCGCACTAAACATTACTAATATATCGGATTTGCAAACATTTTTATTTAGCAAAGAATTTGCTATAATTTTAGCTTTTCTTATAAGTGTCTCAATATTGAGACTATTGTCTGTTTTGCTGTCAATCTATAGTTGTTTTGAATATTTATTAAAATTTCCATTTAATTTATAAATATTGGTTTACTTACGACACAAACTTTATTCTCATGTTTAGTAACTCTCTCCCAAAGATACTGTCCCACAGAAACATCGGGAATATCAAAACAATTGCCTGATTTTAGTACAATTTCTGAACACATACTGTATTACAAACACAATTCTTACAGATCTTCACTGAAGTAACTTAAATACAATTTGTTAAATAAATAACTTTTCCATAGCAATGTCACAGTTTTTCACAGATGTCACATACATTTAATTAATATCATCAATATAATATCTCTTGCGATAAATGAATTTATTTTTTAGATAAAACATATAATTAGCTATAATAGTTATGCAAAACTTCTAAAAATTTATTGAGAATTTCCAGTCGAATAATACTTGTCATGAATTAAATTGATATAATAGTTAATGTTAATGAACACATGAACTAATAGAAGTTTTTAATCTAACTTGTTTTTTGTCAAAACTGTGTTTGAATTTAATATTATAATTCTTTAAATTTTTTGTTTTTAATTAATAAATGGTTTTAATTGACAGTAAATTATTGATTACAGTACCACTAAGAAAACATAAATTCACTTGACCGGTACATAATTATAACCATTGCGTTTATTTAAACAAAACACCGATTAATAATTTCCAAACGAAAATAATAATTTTTTTATCATTTATTTTGACTGAAGTCCGAAGTACTGAAGTTAGCGTTCAATGATCCTCCGTCTGACAGCATATTAATTCCCGTCACAAATGATGACTCTTCCGACGCTAAGAATAGCACTACATTTGCTATATCGATGGGATCGGCCACTCGACCCAATGGGTATGTCTTGGCCTGGAGTTCATAGTTCTCTTCTGCCACCTCTTTGCTCAGACCTCCAGAGGTGTACATAATCTCTGTCCGCACGGCTGCCGGACTTCAAATTAAGTAAACATTTGGTTTGAGATCAAATGTTAAGTTAATTGTTTTGAATTTTTTCATTTAATTTATATATACTTCACTGAATTGACACGAATTCCTTTGGAACCCAATTCTAGTGCCAGACATTTAGTAAACATGTCCAGGGCTGTTTTACTCATGCAATATATGGACCACAATTGGAACTAAACCATTGATTAATCATACATTGAAGTAATCTTATAAATAATATGAATGATATGACTGACCGGCTTAAGGCCCGCAATACTCGATATATTAATTATATTGCCTTTGGTTGTCTCCAAATACTCTGTCGCCAAATGAGTCAAATGTATGACTGATCGCACGTTTGTGTCGAAAATTCTCTGATATTCGTTAAGAATATTCTTGTCGTGAATGTCTGTAACACCGGTTACGCCGGCGTTATTCACCAACACATCCAGTCTTCCAAACGCTTTAATCGTGGATTCAATGAGTCGTTTGCAGTCATCATCTTTGCTCACATCTGCCACCACTTCCAGTGCTTTCAATCCTTTTGGCGATACTTTCGTTATTTGTTGCGAGACATGAGACAAATTCTTTGCGCGCCGACCGGTGATCACCACTTGAGCGCCGTATTTGGCAAATTGGATGGCAGTCTCAGCGCCGATACCTGATGAGGAACCGGTCACCAGAACTACTTTACCCGAAAATCTGTCACTTCTCGACATAATTTGAATTTGAATACAAGTTTATAAAAATAAAACCAATGAATACAATGAAAAATGTTCTGAAAGTGAAAGCAAACTTTGCTGTGAACTCTATCTGCAAATTCTCACTATTTATATGAGAAATATAGTTTTGGTGCAAATTTGCAGTGCAATAGGACTTTCAATGCCATTGGCAAGTTCTGTAGTTATTATTAATCAATTAGTATTTACAGTTATATTGTACTGTATATTATTTACCAATGAATACTGAGCATTTAGTTCTAGTGGACTCATTGAATGATCACTGATTTTTACGAATTAAAACCGGTCTTAAAATGCACTGTACTGGCTGCAATTACAGTACTGTCGCTTTGATTTATTTATTCAATTGCGGTATGATATTTCAATGAAAGTTTTATTCAACAAAATCTATATTTCTAAAAATACGTTATATTTTTGTATTCAATTTAAAACTTAAATATATAGTTTTGATTCAAAAAATTAAGTCTTGTTATTCATATTTTTGTATATTTAGTTTAAGTTCTAACACTTTAGTGAAATTAAGTGAAAACCATTGATAACATTTTTGATAACAAAATTGATTATTTTTATTAACCTAGTTAATGTGTTTTAAATTTTTTTTGCTGATAATTTGTATAAATACTATCCAAATATAAAATTTCAGTAAATAAGTAGCCATTAAATTGGTGTCCGATTTCTCATTAATGTTTTATCATTAGATAATAATCTTATATAAACTGAATATTCAGTTACAACAATATAACAACAACTTCTAATCTCGTACTAATCCCAAAGTTAATCCCAAAGTTAATCCTATGGTCTAATTTATCGGTGAGTTGTTTTCTGTAAATCCAGTGATCACTAGTAAAACAATTATATTTAATTACTAAAAACCTGTGTGTCGTTTCCAGAAAATACTATCAAATCACATGCTAATAATAATTGTAATCATAAATATAAAGAATTGCTTAATAAAATGTTTTTAGAAATGCTTACAGTATACAATCATATTATGAATACAAAAAAGTAAAATACAATTAATTAAGACCTGTTAATAATCACTTAAAATACTACAGTTGATTTGAAAAATGTTCCTATTTTTAAATACATACTGTATGTATTAATAACTTATATGATACCGTATTGAAGGTTTTAAAAGATAAATCATTTGTTTGATTTTGGTTTGAATGATATATTGAATGCTATATTGAAATACAATTCAATAACTCATTGAGGAGTCAATGAAATCATAATTGAATGACTGGTCTGTGAAACGAGTGGACGATTCACTCATCAGTCAATGTATTGTGTGTTGTGTTTACAAAACCATAAGAAAACGCATTTAAAGCGCTGTTTGTGTGGAGTTTGCAAACTATCGCTACAACCAAACCTAACCTAACTCTCTGTCTGTCATACAGTAGACTATTCAATGCACTGGTAGTTCAAGTTAACAGTAAAGCCTAGTTTCTGCTGTTAAATATCATTAATATCCCGATTCTTCTCCGCGATATACTGTACACTACAATGACTGCACTCGTTATCCTTTTTTCAAAATCTTAATCCCATATAAATCTCTCATTCAAACCAAAATCAAACAAATGATTTATCTTTTAAAACCTTCAATACGGTATCATATAAGTTATTAATACATACAGTATGTATTTAAAAATAGGAACATTTTTCAAATCAACTGTAGTATTTTATACATTGACTGATGAGTGAATCGTCCACTCGTTTCACAGACCAGTCATTCAATTATGATTTCATTGACTCCTCAATGAGTTATTGAATTGTATTTCAATATAGCATTCAATATATCATTCAAACCAATGCTTTACTAATTCAGTTATCATCCACTCATAAGTGTTCATAAAATGATGTTTTACCACAACTCAAGGTTTCATTCATACAAACCATTCACGTCTTCAGTGGTCACTAACAGTAAATCTTTGATTTCATTAACCATTTAGTAATCAACTAAACGATGGTCTGGTCCGTCATCTGAACGGTTGGTCACAAGTGGTTCCCATATCGATGCCGTGGGCGGCAAACACTGTCACCTCCACCACAACCACCGCCACTCCTATCAGTAACCCACATATGATGGCCACTGCCGAGGGAGTCAATTATCAGCCAAATGTGATGCACTTCACGGCCAACACATCTGAGACACCAATTAATCCATCACTTCTTCCATATAATCTTCAGCCAACTGTCGATACTTTGCCCCCAAAGGACTGCCCTTTTGATGTGTTATGTCCCGATCCGTGCACTTCACAGACGGCCACCCGTTGGGAGCTCTTGCATAACATGACAACCAATGAATCGGCAGCAGGTAGCGTGGTTGTGGAGTTCTCTGCATTGCTATCGAGCCTACTCCTCATGCTACTTCTGCCAGAGGCTGCTGGACAATTCGTCATATAGTCGCTTCTCTTTCACAGCCGATAAAAATATAGGCTTCACATCACAAACAATACTCATATGTTTGATATGAACGACAAGATAGTGGACGAAGACTTCGAGGAGGAGACCACCGACCAGTCCAATGATGACAGCAATAAGAGTCCAATTGTTTTCACTCATGTCAACGTTTTGCGGTAATTTTTATTCTGCTACTGACTCGCTAACCAAGTTTTGCTTTACCTGTCTGTGAGCTTCCGACACCAGTATACCGCCGGTTTGTTGGGAGACAAACGGTAACCTAAATTGGGGAAGTCTGATGAGGAAGAAGTGCCCAAAAGTGGTGCCAATTGTGATGACATTAAAAATAATCATAATTTTATCGATTCAGACATTGATTTCAGTCATCGAAAGGATGAGGAGTTTTGTGACTACGACAACGACATGGAGTTATGTCAGTAGATATTGTCTGTGACTATGAATAGAGTGACAAATATTTTTATGTGAATAAACTCTTGACTATACATCACATGGAAAGCCTCTCACAGTCTTTGACAGGTGTTTGAAAATGTGTTGACTGAATAGAAATGAATTTTACTCGATGTTAGTGCCGTTGTTTGAGTAAATTTAGACTAATTTTTACTTTATTAATCATTTTATATGAAATGACAATAAGAATCTACACATACCGGCGCTCAACAGCTAAACACTAATCAAATTGTCTGCGACTGGAGATCTCATAAATATCATTAATTTGATTAAAACCTAATATACAGGCAGTTATTAGCAGAGGTTTTTCTGTTTGTATATATTTAATACATATTTTCAGACCTAAAAATCGTAATTAATATTGATTAAACGCCTTTTGTAAAAAGAATCGTTAATTATTAAGGGTTACTTTACTTAAACAAATAGCTAACTTGTTTTGAAAATTGCTGTAAATAACTTTTTATTGTCTTTATAAAATAAAAATACGATCCATTGTTTTCTAATATCGATAATGGTTCACCTTTTTTTGTAGGACTAAATAATTGTTACATCTATTGAGGAAATGGATTGCCATTAAAATAAATGAGTAAATGTTTAGCGAATATAACTAAACAACAAAAAATTATAACTAAATAAAGGGGCGATAATTCGCTAGCATTGATACAGTAGATGAAAAGCTGCGCACAAATACTATGGCTATTGACTGGTAATGGTTGGAAAAATAGCAAATTTGATGGTGGAGTACAGTATGAGAGCGCAACTCAATCCCGTACTCTACTTAATGCCATACTTTCGTGTATTCCAACTGTAGTTCCTATCACTCCATACATGCACTCCATTCCCAATGAATATAGAGAGAGATATTACGATTATTACGGTATAGCTTTCGACATACACTTGCCATACATTTAATAGGATATGCATTTTGCAAAGCCTTCATCTTTTTGTAAATTAGAAATACATACGAATGGAAAAGTAGTTATAATTTATGTTTTTTAAAATTTGTTGCCATCGATTCTTGTGAAACCATGATAACCATGATATTGAAAACTAGTGTAGAATTTTGAAATGAAAGTACAAATTATTTAATTCGTGAAGAATATTGTGACGAGAATTAGTGTGTAAACAATGGTTGACTCGGTGTCATCGGGTAAGGCATTTGGATGTCGATGTGATTGTATTTGATATGCGATTCTTATATTCCTAATAGTATTATATGTGATATATGTTTGAAAATAATATCTCATGAATTGTGTTTATATTTTGTGGTGTTTTAGAGAAGGAATACAAAGAAAAGCTGCTCCGTATGGTTAAACGGGAGGTCAGTGCCATTGCCTACCATTCATACAAGTTATATACAGTGAACCAAATGTAACAAATGATACTAACAATTCATCATTTAGTGATACTGTCATTACAATTCATTACTATAGGCTATGTCTGTGTTTCTCGTTTATTGAGATTAAATAATTTGATTGAATGTCTGTTAGAGATCCAAAAACAATGTAACAATTCTTGAGAGTATTGAATCGATTACTTTATTTGTATTATTAATGTATTGGTATACAAGTTGTTTATTGCGAATGCATTGAAATACAAACAAAATGCACATAAAATCCATTTCCAGGTCAAACAGATAATGGAAGAGGCGGTCACTCGAAAGTTCGTTCACGAAGAGAGCAGTTCCATAACATCCCTGTGCGGTAAAGACTCATAATTTTTTCATTACCTTAGTTATTAAACCAATACATCAACTGTTGCTCTACTGCCTGTCTGTCCAACAATATATATCTCAGTTTCAGACGATTTTTTATACCTTATATTAAAATACAGTACAAAAAAATACTTTTATTTTTTTAATTCCCTGGAATACGATCATACTCTGAGGAATATGGTTTTGATTAATTAATATAAATATTGAAAATTTTAAATATAAGAGAATTTATTTTTAGAAAAATTTTCAGTTTCAACAGTTAACTAATCTCTCGTATATTATTGATATATAATATGCATATAATATGATATCTAAAATGATACCATAAATTTGCAAAAATATTATTTCTTTAAGAAATATGAAATTAATTTCCGAAATGAAAGCGAAAATATTATTGATTTGGTTTTAGCGGAAATTCCTAAACATTTACTCATATATAAAATATACGCCAGAGAGTAGACACAGGAAATGCTCGTATATTTATACATCTTTTCAGACAACTTTTCTGTTAATGAAACACAAAAGTGCAACAGTTTTGGGATTCATACGAATAATTTATATTAAAAATTCAATTTTTCTAATTTAATTACTTGCATGACAAATATTTATTTATAATTTGTTGTTTTTATTAAAGCACAATATGAATTACTTTACTTTTCATTAAATTTTAAAATTAATTAAAAACTTATTTATGAAAATAAACTGATTCTTAAACTTTACTTTAGTTAATTTACCGAAAAATAAACATAATTCGCAATTGAATGTCAGTTATTCTGTAGATGTGAACAACAATTCCGAGAAAATATTATGACATTGGATTAGATAGAGACATGGATTTAATAAAAATCAATATACAATATACACATAAAGTGAAAGCCAAATAACATAATGCAATAAAAGTAACTTAAATACAAACTTCAAATTGGTTTCACAGTTTGAATTCGTGTTATGCAGTGAAGTATGAGTTTTATGTCATTTACTGTAGTAATGTGTCGCTAAGTCTCGCAAACAGATTCTTTATGACTTGATTAACACATACAGAATATTCTGTGAGTATTATGATATGTTATTCTCTAAGGCAATAAGAATTATAGATTGAAATCCACGATATTTATATTGATATTTACTTTTACAGTACATTACATTTGTTTCATTTTTAATCCATCAAAAACATTTAACAGTCAATTAGCATTTGAAATTTTAACCAAGTACAGTACTCAGTTTTATAAAAACCCTCGATTTTAAATTTCTTGTTATATTTGTTTAGCAATATTGACACCCAAATGAATGGTGCATTCAATCAGTAGTTATATTCGCTATAATAGAGTGCAAAATCTTGTTTATACCAGTATTTATTTGAAACTCAATTTTATGCTATAATTGCTTTAATAACTATAAGTATATAATTATTAGTGATTTATATCTCGGCTGACATATGGGTTTTGTTTTACTTAAGTTTAATAATTTCGTTATCTTTAATTAAAACACAAGGGTATAGAAACCCATTTGTAATATATCAAATCATTTAATACAAAAGTAAATAACCATGACATGGGATATTAAAGTTTATATTAATAAATACTTATATAATAATACACAGAATAATCTGTATATCATCAAGAATATGGTAATTATGTGCGAAAATGTTTCATAAATTATCATTTATTATACAATCTTTCATTTGATATGATTTTAAATGACTTTTCGTATCATTCATTAATTCTCAAAATAATTATAATAACAATAAAATTTTGTAATAAATGAAAAATTAATTATATGAACAAACTTTTGTACGACAAATAGCTGCGGTTGAGGCCTGTCTTTCATATGGACTCAAACGCCGAGCACTCCCTGAGAAATTCTGGTTGAGCTGCTGTCGTGATGAGGTTTTTCACCGGTTTAAAAGTCTCGGCCGGCCATAACAGTACTTTTAACAGTCGCTTAATCTTTCGCCACTAGGTTTGTTCATTGATAAATTATGAAACATATGTTTGAGCAATTTGTTAATTCAGTTGTATAACTGTGTCTTATGCCTATACCCTGTAGGCGCTCCTCATCCAGCAGTGACAGCATCAATAAGAACCGATTGTCCAAAACGGCGAAACAGCAGAGCTCTAGCAAACCGGTCATCCGATACCTATGGATCAGAATCGCGTTGTTTGAGAAACATTTGGTCGCTATTGTCGACCATTTGGTGCAAAATAGTAACAAATACTATGAGAAAGACGCTCTTGTCACTGACCCGGTGTCCGGTCAGATACTGGCCTCCCTTCTGGTGGGTCCCTGTGCTCTCGACTATAGCAAAATGAAAACACAGGACCACTTCTGGACTGATCCGCCAGCAGATGAACTCGTTCAGAGGCACCGACTGTCCGGCTCTTTACAGAACGGACCCTCGACTCCACCGACCGGTAGAAAACCATTAGGACTTTATTATAAGAGAGGGGTCGAGGGCTCCAAATCGTCGACCAGTGCTGACGAGAAGAGCCCTCCCGTGAACCGGTCATCGCTCTCGTGGTCACCCCGTGATTATGTCGAGTCTTTGCACCAGAACTCCCGGTCCACTCTCTTGTACGGCAAGAATAATGTTATGATTCAACCGGTAATTCATTTTACGTATTATTTTCCAATACTGTTGAGACATATGTTTTCATGAATTATTGATTTTGGTGTGTTTTGTATGAAATAATAAGCGCGAGAATATGGAAGCAATTCCTGGGTATCTATCACTCCATTCAACACATATCGGGCTAATAATCAAATGGACACCAAATCAGTTAATGAATGGCTGTACTCCTAGTGTGGGAGAGATTGCTTCAGAACCGGCTAATAGTCAGGATAAAAGGTAACGATTAATTAATTGACAAATGTTTTCAAAAACACATCTCGCGACACAATTAGGGTGAAAAATTACTAATTATAAAAATCGATTAATCAAACACTACATAATGGAAATTCTTGGAATACAAATTTATTTATATTTTAAAACATGTTTTGACACATTTGAGTCTTATTTCATGTCTATGAAGTAAATTTTGAAATTACTTTGCAAGCTAATTTATACAATACGGTGGTTTGTGTGCTTCACAGTGCTATGCGTTGCCTTGCTTAAACATAATTACTTTGCTTTAATGATCCATTTATTCTTTTGTCTCTTTTTATCCATTATTTTCCATTAAACTCTACAGAATTTTCTGCTCTTTGTTTTAGAAATGATTTTGTTATCTAAAACAAAATAGAGCATAGATTTGACATTTAAGATACAACACAAAAACCCAGAGCATCTCAACTGTAATAATAGGATAATTAGCTTAAGTTGAGACAAATTTAGAATAAGATTTTGAATATCACATGAAATTTGATCCTAAAAAGAAACAAAAATACAATAACGCTTAGTATATCATACACTCTTTAATGAAAATTTATTTGCATTTTTAGAAAACATATTCTTTTAGAAAATAATACTTTAAACTTCTTAATATAGTATTTGAATAAATGAATACTAAAACAAAAATTTCCATAAATGACAGCACATTCTGGGATTACGCACTGAGTCTGAACGTGGATGAGATCGTATACCTCCACTGTCACCAACAGGAAGGCAGTGGAAGTATAGTACTGGTGGGTCAGGACGGTGTGATGCAACCGCCCATTAAATTTCCCAGAGGTGGGCACCTGTTGTCATTCCTGTCGTGCTTAGAGAATGGACTCATGCCTTACGGCCAACTGGACCCACCTCTCTGGTCACAAAAAGGTAAAGGTATGCTTAAGTGGTTAACAGCCACCGCTCACTCATTATAATTCGTGGCAAAAGTGTTTGCTTTACAAATAAAGTACTTTTTGTTTGGTATTTGGCAAATGTCTTATCAGGGAAAGTATTCCCGAAACTAAGACGTAAGGGTCGCGGGTCTACACGTAATCGAAAGCAAAGCGATGTCAACATTGAAGAAGAGGAAGAGGAGGAGCCGTCTGATTATGTCTTCAGAATTATCGCCACATTCGAGAAGCCGGAGACTATTCGTAAGAATTATCATTTTTTACAGTATATTCTTAGAAAAGATATAATGTATTCATAAATCTGCTGACAAACAGCGCAAGAGTTATTTGATCCAAACGCAACAAAAACAGGGTTTTATTTGAAGAGACCCTTCAATGGTATCAAAAGACACCAAAACTCATCTTCCAATAAACAGTTGAAATCAAAAAGCGATGAAAACAGTACTAAAGAGTCAAACGAGTCGTTAAATACTACGGAAAATGCGGACACAAAAGAGGATAAAGAAAGTGAGGAGAAGTCAAACATAAAGCAATTGTGTGACACAATGAGGAGACAAATCATTTCGCGGGCATTCTATGGATGGTTAGCCTATTGCCGACACTTGAGGACTGTTAGGACACATTTGGCTGATTTGGTGAACACTAAGATCATTGGTTGCGACGACGACCCCACAGACGCAACGTGTGGTGTGAGTCCGCTGTTGTGGAAATCGTTTAAATCTTCAGACGGAAGGATAACTGATTCCAATGAGATCTATAGACTTATATACTTCGGCGGAGTTCAGCACAGTTTGAGGAAAACTGTTTGGCCCTACCTTTTGGGTCACTACGCCTTCGAGATGTCCGACGATGAGAGGGCTGAACGCGACAAAGAGACGCAACACATGTATGAGATGGTTATGTCCGAGTGGTTGGCCGTTGAGGCCATTGTCCGACAGCGAGACAAAGAGATAATGGCCGCCAATTTGGCCAAATTGTCTTCCGAGAGCACAAATAGCGCTGAGATTCCACTGACAGGTCCTAAGGATCACAACTTCAGTAACGAAGTGTTTGAAGACATCTCAGAAGGCGATGAGTCGAAGCCGTCGAGTCGTAAGTCATCGACACAGACCACGACAACAGATGCCACCAACAAAGATAACCAACCATTGAGTGCTGCCCGCCGTCAACTGCAACGACACAAACCGGT